GCCTCTCATTCCACTCTGTAATTGAAAAAGGCCCTAGCTTCTACAAGTTCAATACCTCGTTGCTAAAGCTCCCAACACTGAAAACCCTCATCAATGACTTCTGGAAGTACTGGGAATCTAAGAGGGTCACGGCAGACTCAAAGGTGGACTTGTTTAACGAAGGGGTGGCACAGCTAAGGGACCGGATTTAAAAATTTTCTATAAACCACGCGAGAGAAAAAAAAAATGGTGCTCGACAACCTGCTGAAAGAACTGGAAAACTGGGATGTCGAGCTACAGTCTGAACCCCTAGATGACGCAACCTATCATAGGCTGCAGGCCGCCAGAGAACACCTGCAGGCGTATTTGGTTGCCCAAGCCGAGGCATGGCGTGTTCAGGCACGCATACGGAAACAAGACACAGATGGCACAATGGCGAAAATATTCTTTCGAAAGGCCACAGCCAGAGCAAGGCAAGCAGTGGCGCCCTCCCTTCGCCACCCTTTCGACAACTCAATCCCCAAGGCCATTAATGCTTACTCAATTGTGGATTATGCGGCTCAGTACTACCAAAGACTTTACGCCTCCGAGTCAGCCCAGTGGGGGACACAAAGGCTGGCCGAAGCGAGGCAATCAATGTTGGAACGCCTACCAGCAATGTTGTCCACGACCCAACGTGATCTGTTGGAAGCTCCGCTGACAACAGATGAGCTGTTTGAAGCGTTGAGGGGCATGGAGGATGAAAAGACCCCCGGCCTCGACTCCTTCCCAAAAGAGTTCTGGCTCCAAAATTGGGCCACCTTCCAAGACAGCATTGAGGTATACGTACAAGCAGTCCAAATGGAAGGATCCTTTGGTGATTTGATATCCCAGGGGGTGACCACACTGCTGTACAAAAAAGGGGATAAAGCTGACATTAGAAATTATAGGCCAATCACACTCCTCCCCTTACCTTACAAAATGGTGTCCAAAGCACTGACTAATCGCCTACTACCACATATGAGGCACCTGATCTTCCAGGACCTGACAGGATTCATGCCGCAACGCAACAGGATAACATTATCCTCGTAAATGAGACAATTAAATATGCCAGACAATATCGAAAAGAGGCGGCTATCTTGTTCATAGACTTCGAAAAGGCCTATGACCACGTGGATTGGGACTTCATGGACGCCTGCCTGCACAAAATGAACTTTGGCGCCGTATTCAGAACATGGGTGTCCACCATGCACAGGTCTGCTACAACGAACATCATGGTAAACGGTCACCTCTCCCCTCCGTTCGCTCTCCAAAGATCGGTGAGACAAGGAGATCATGTGGCTCCGCTCCTCTTCGTGCTGGTGATGGAAGCATTGGCAGCAATGATCAGGGTCAATCCAGACATTGAAAGAATAGATATTCCGGAACTGCCTACGCATTCCATACCGGTGACATCCCTGTTCGCCGATGACCTCACGGTGCTCATTAACGCCTCGGAGGCATCCCTGAGAGCACTGACAGACACAATCCATACCTTCGCCATAGCAGCGGACATGAAGGTCAACTGGGGGACCAAGACGGAAGGTTGGTGGNGACACAATCCATACCTTCGCCATAGCAGCGGACATGAAGGTCAACTGGGGGACCAAGACGGAAGGTTGGTGGCTTTCTCCACAAAACACTCAACCCCCGCCAGACCCGCCGGTCAACTGGAGAACCCACGAGGAGGCAATTAGGATCTTGGGTGTCCGTCTTACAGCGCTGGGACCCCCGCTGGACCACGGACAAGCTTTGGTCCAGACAGCCCTGCAAAGATTGGCCAAATGGGACGGTCTGCCCACCTCGCTGATAGGAAGGGCGCTTGCAATAAATAACGCCATCCTCGCCACCATATGGTACAAGACAACGTTTTGGCAGATCCCCGTGAAGCAACTGGCACACCTGCGAGGCGCATTGGCAGCCTATTTATGGAGGAACGATCATGCCAACACCAAATGTATCAAAAGGGTGGCATGGAAATACATTACCCAACCGAAGGCGGTAGGGGGACTGGGCATTCTCGACCCGGGTGACGAGATCCGAGCGCTGATGTTTAAAATAATTACGCACCTGTTACTAGCCAATGACGTCCCTTGGCAACCCCTGGCATGTATTCTCAACTGTCGCACCTGGCTCCTCCCTCTCCCCCTCACCACCGGATACACCCCCTCACTTGGCTGGTCAACACAGCATGGTCACTACCGAGCCCTCTGAGGACCCGGAGGGATGGATCGCCCCGGAACTGGACGAGATGGGACCTTTAGAATGACCCACTGTGGACCACAATGGTGGAACTGTGGAGACAAATGGGGCCAACTCAAAAAGCCCCCCCGCTGCGCTGGCATGAGTTGTGGCGACAACCATTGCTCGGAAATCCGCACATATGTGATGCTGCAAGGAAGCCATTCTCGCTACAGACTGGCTCCCACTGGCTAACATGGGTTAAAAACGGGTTTTTTACTGTGGGAGACTTGTGGGGCAGTCACGCAGGAACATGGAAGTCGCCACAACAAATGCAGTCCACACTCAAAAACGTTAAGAGGCTACAGGATAAACTGCACCAACTGTGTTCAGCTATCCCGCCGCAATGGGTGCTTACGTTGCAGCAGGGACCGTCGACAAGGAATCTTGACTGGGTGACTCGAGCCGGCCCGGACCAAATCCCGATGGTTGTCTACAGAGTACTCGACGACACCCATGATGGCATACGACTGCAGGCTTTCGAACCGGACGTGCCAGGGGCCAGATGGGCTCCCCTAAAGAGGACCCCTGCCTTGGACAGAACAAGTGAAGAAGAGGGACTCACTAGAATTCGAGTGGTGGGATCTGAAGATACTGGATTCTATGGATTTGAAATGTCCGTCCCCGTGGGGGCCCTACCTTTTGACCCAGACGAATGGGAGTGGAAAGGGCGTAATCCGACCCCTATCTGGCAATACACAGTTAGAGAAGGATACAAACAGGTACACACACGCGTCCCCTCATCACAGGTAGTCCGTAAAAGATGGAGAAGGGACTCTCCGGTAGAGGATGAGAACCTCCGGCACATCCCATGGACCATGCATGCCCATATCATGCCCACCTCCCACAGGGCATTGCAGTGGCAAATTTTACACAGGTGCCTACCGACCCCGGACTGGCTGATAGCAAGATCCAACTTGGAACAGAAAGGGATTCTCTCCCCTATCTGCTCACAGTGTGGACCAGACGCTCCCCAACGGCGTGCAGACCTAGAACACTGCCTTTTAGCTTGCCCACTGGCGATACGGATATGGCAGTGGTGGGATGCATTGTGGCACAATCTCACTGGAACAGTGTTTCAGTGGGACATAGCCCTCATCCTACTGGGGAAAAAGAATAGAATCCCTCAGACCTGGACCGCATTTCAGAGAAACCTCTTCAAGCACATGAGGCTGGTTGTCCTCATGGTCATATGGAGGATGAGGTGCTCAACAGAACGGCAAGAGATGATGTTCGGTCACTACCAGGCCAAAGCCGAACTTGTAGAAATTATAAGGGATAATCTAGTTAAAGCAAACAAAAAACTCAGGGACGACATGGAAGACAGTCCTGACACAGAAAAGAACCAACAGGCCATCTCCGCATTTGCTGAACAATGGTTAGATCCCCATTAAACTGATGGACAAGGGGCCTCGCTGTACTACGCTTGAATCTTGAGAAATCAAGAGTTCATCACCGCTGCACTAACTCTTGATGCCGCGTCCTTCAGATCCACTCTCGAAAACGTCGAGAGCGAGTCATCGTTCCACTAACTGTGGAAAAGTGCTCTTGGTCCGGCCCTTCAAGAGGTGTCAGAAACGGCCCATCGGATGAGCTCTTGAAGCTTCCACAGTTCCCGCCTGCAGGGGCGTTCTTTTCAAATGAGGCCGACTGGCCCCTTCATGCGGTTTGCAAATTCGAGAGTTGGCCTCCAGTCTCTGTGGACAAATCCTCGCTGCCCTGTCGTGTAGTGTCTATTCAGTTTCTCTATCTTCTGTCCCACAGTCAAGAATGCTCACGAGAGTCGAGAGTCGGGAGTAAGTGCAGCGACGACAGCACTTGATGCCAATCCAGGAGTCTGACAGCGCTAGCTAGACGTACTCTTGAATTCTTTCGCGTGTCTATGTAGTGCAGCGAGGCCCAAGATCTGGCTCCTAAGATGATGTTTGCAGTCCTTGTCGTTGGGTCCCTTTTCTTTGCTCTGATATCTCTTGTTGACTGTTGAGGTCTGTGTATTACTGCTCACCGCCTCTGTCTCTGCCGAGCCTGGCCCGGCTTTTGTTCGGGCAGATTCCTGGGACTGAGGCATGACAAGAAAAGGCTGATGCAAGCACGAGCAAGGGCATAGTGCGAAGTTTCCCTGCCGTCTGACAGGGGCCTGCATAGATTTTGGGCCAAAGGGGCATGGCAGAAAAACCGGCAGCTTGAGGGGGCATCATGCAAATAATGCATCTTTGAGGGGCATAGCACAAAATCTCCCTTTGAAAGGGCGACAGCCTTGAGATATCATGTTGAAAATAATGCATCTTTGAGGGGCATAGCACAAATACTCGCTTAGAAAGGGCGACAGACTTGAGATATCATGCTTGAACTGACGGGGCCCAGGTGATTCAGACTTTTTGTACTCATCTGATTGTGGATGGATTCGAACTAGGGGCCTCGCTGCACTACTCTCGAAATGTGCAAAACGAGAGTGAATCTTCCCCTAGAATATGGAAAGATACACGGCCATGATTTTTGTCTTTTGTGCATTTCAAGAGTAGGCCCTAGGGGTCTGCATTTCGACAGTTCATGGGCCTCGCTGCACTACTCTCGGCATGCGCAAAACAAGAATCATGGCCGTGTATCGTTCCATATTCTAGCGGAAGATTCACTCTCGTTTTGCACATTTCGAGATTAGTGCAGGAAGCCCCATGTGTGTGCCAATCGAGCAAGGCACGCTGGGTTTCTGTACAGTGGCTGTACAGTGGCTGGGCGCGGCCCAGAAACGAAACGTGCCGACGCGCATTTGTTTCCTCACCACTCAGCAAATTTTCCGTTCTGGAGCACAGCACGGAGAGGAAAGGTGCGGGACTCTCTCTCTCTCTCTCTCTCTCTCTCTCTCTCTCTCTCTCTCTCTCTCTCTCTCTCTGTGTGTCTGTCTGTACCTGAGGAGGTGGGGAGTTCAGTTCACGCTGGGCCCAAAAAAGGAATAGGTCAGTCCGCGCGCGGCGTGGCCAAGTGCACTCTCTCTCTCTCTTTCTCTCTCTGTCTCTCTCTCTCTCTCTCTCTCTCTCTCTCTCTCGCCCCCCTCCCTTCTCTCCCCCCCCGCCCTGCCCCCCTCTCCCTTCGTCCCTCCCCCCGCACCCCCAATGCTTTCTCTCTCTTTGTGTCTCTCTCCCAGAGCGGGCGTGAAGAGGTGGAGAGTTCCGCTCATACTTGGCCCATCTCTCTCTCTCTCTCTCTCTCTCTCTCTCTCTCTCTCTCTCTCTCTCTCTCTCTCGAGAGAGAGAGAGAGAATTGTTGGAGAAGTGGAGGCAGATCAGGTTGTGGGATAGAGGAGGAGGAGAAAGGTAGGAACGTTAGCCAATCAGGATCATGAGGATGTTTGAACCGATGAAGTTTCAGGGGAAAGAACGCCGAGGCAACAGGGTGAGGAATCCAGGTCGTGTAGGGGGATCCAGAGACGGTGGGGGAGAAGAGGAGATTGCCAGGCAGGAAGAGGGTTTCAGTACGGAGGGAGAGGAAGAGGTTGTAAGGAAAGGAGAGAGCAGGGTAATGACGAAGGGCCTGAGTCGCGCGCGAGAGAGGGCAAGTGTGGATATGGAGGTAATAGAGAGAAAAGCAATGAAGAGAGAAAGAGCGGCAGACAGAGGAAGAGAGAAAAGGACATACCAGATCCGCAGGGACCACATCGAGTATTGGCAGAGCAGGAGCTCTACGAAGATCCCAACGGTGAAGAGAAAAACGTGGTGAAGAGAAGAACGTGGAGAGAGGGGGGAGGGGAAGAGAGAGGTGACCGACACAGGACAAGGAGAGAAGAGGATCTTGCTATACTCCCCTCTCTCCATCCTTCTCTCTCTCTCGCTCCAAGGGGAAACGCCCTCTGTCATGCCCGTCTTCCCCTTTCCCCCCCTTCCCCCCCCTCTCCCCCCCCCCCCTTCTCTCTCTCTCTCTCCCTCCCTTATCTTTTTTTATTTTTTATTTATTTTTTATTTTTTAATCTCCATTTTACGGGTAGCGATGTCTCGTCGTTCATATTTCGCGCGCGCCTTTGTTGTTGACGCCAACAACAAATTACTCGTAAGCTCCGCATTCCAATCAAATGCAGAATTGATGATTTCGCATCCGAACGATTAAAAAAAAGTAAAAAAAAAAAAGTAAAAAAAGGAAAAAAAAAGAAGTTAATTACTGTAAGTCACTATGTTCCTCACTTGCGCAACCAATCCGCCTCTCAGGGGCGAGGTCCCACTAGCAAAGAGGATTGGATTGAATGCCTGAATCTGGACGTGTATGTTGAAAAGATTCAGAAAATATACATTGAACTGCTTTTCTGCATCTCTGCGTAAAACACGTCCAGATTCAGGCGCTTAATTCAATCCTCTTTGGTAGTGGGGCCGAGCCCCAGGCGAGAGCCTTCTTCCACTCCTCAAGATGGTGAATGGATTTTTTTTTTAATCGGTGAATATATATATATTTTTAATCGGTGAATATATATTTTTTTAATCGGTGAATGGAAAACAAGAAAAAAATCGGTGAATGGAAAATAAAAAAAATCGGTGAATGGAAAACAAGAAAAAAATCGGTGAATTGAATGGAAAAAAAATAAAATCGGTGAATGAATCTGATTAAAATCGGTGAATGGAAAAAAAATAAATAAAAAAGAATCGGTGAATGGATGTGATTGAAGTTGATGAGCGGATTTGATTGGAACTGGTGAATGCAGATTTTGAGCTGGTGCATTGAACGTGGACGGCTGCATCCGCTGTCGCATTTTTGTCGCGCAAAGGAGAGAGACACCAGCCATTGGGTGGGGGAAAGGCGCGCCGGTTTTGGCGGGAAAACTGTGACAGGAACGGCTAAATTCAATATGATGACGTGGCATCATCTGGAGCGTCGCTGGAAATCGCCTCGATTGATTGTGGATTGATTGGAACGAGTGGGCCGTTGGCTCACACTGCTGCTGATTGTCCACATTGACAGACAGAGACACACACACAGAGAGAGAGAGAGAGAGAGAGAGAGAGAGAGAGAGAGAGAGAGAGAGAGAGAGAGAATCGCGGTGCTGCGGAACAGAGGGGGACGGGAGCGGAACAGGGGAGGGAACGCAGCGTTTGGAAGAGAAGGGAGGGAGACCTAGTCTTTCTCCCTCTCTCTCCTGTTTTCTCTCTCCTGTTTTCTCTCTTCTCTCTCTCTCTCCTCTTTCTCTCTCCTCTCTCTCTCCTCTTATTCTCCCGTCTCTCTCCTCACTCTCCTCTCTCTCCTCTCTCTCTCTCCTCTCTCTCACTTGCTGTCCTTCTGTTCCTCTCCCACCAACATACGAGCGCTGACACAGTAAACATCGTCATGGCGAAGTTCCGGGTGAGCGGGCCGATTTTTTATTTATTTATTTATTTTTAATTGTTCTCATTATTTATTTATTGTTTAATTGTTCTCATTATCTTTGTTTATAGAAGCTGGTGAGCGGGCCGAAGTATTGGGGAGTTTTAGGGGTTTGGAAAGGTTTTGTGGGCTGCACACCCGGGGGGGACGGAGAGGGGGGCAGAGGGGCGG